TTTTTGATTTTCGAGACAGGGTTTCTCCGTAGCTTTTTGGTTCCTGTCCTGGAACTAGCTCTTCTAGACCAGGCTGGCCTCGAACTCACAGAGATCTGCCTGCCTCTGCCTCCCGAGTGCTAGGATTAAAGGCGTGCGCCACCACTGCCCGGCTTATTTTTGGCTTTTTGATTTAACTATTGTTTAGTTTACTTTTGTATGTGATGTGTTTGATATGTATGTGTGTGCACGTATTTGTGTATGTGTATGTGTTGATTTATACGCCACATTGCATGTTAAAAGGCAACTTTGTTGGTCCTTCTACCTTTTATTTGATTCTAAGATTTATTTTAGATTTGTGTGTATGTGTGTATAGTTATGTATGTATGTGTACCATGTGTGTGCAGGTGCATGAGGAAGCCAGAAGAGGGGGTATGAGATCCCCTGGTGCTCGTGTTATAACAATCGTGAGCCTGTGCTGTGCCTGGAACTGAACTCATCCTGTGGGAAAGCAGCAGCAGCTCTATTAACTGCTGAGCCTAACTGCTGAGCCGTCTCTCCTGACCTTGACTTCCGTATTGTTGGCTATGTGGTCGGTCTCTAGTTGTTTACTACTGCATTTATCTAGCTTGCTGGCCCACAGCTCCTGGGGATTTTCCTGTCTCTGCTTCCTATATCCAGGAAGGAGCATTGGGATTGTAGGCGTGAACTACAGTGTCCTGCGTTTATGGGGGTTCTGGAGCTTCAAACTTTAATTTTCATGCTTACTTGACAAACATTTTATCCATTGAACCATCTTTCATCTTTCAGCCCCTATTATTATTATTATTGCATTCCCAGTGTTTTAAGTATAAAGTAGAAGACAGGTTATAGTATTTAGTCCATCTTCTCCAGAGATGAAAGCCTTTCACTGACTGGATCTCATATTGGAATGTGAAGTTTGTGATTTCCTCTTAAGTGAAAGATGCTATTCTACATAAAATGTTCAGTATTTTCACTACTCAGTGTCACAGCAGCTCTGAGTTAGGCTTCCCTGGTGCCTCATTCTAGTCTGCCTTAGAGCTTAGTGCTTAATCTCGGCATGGTGGCTCACTCCTTTGATCCCAGTACTCAGGAGGCAGAGGCAGGCGGATCTGAGAGTTGGAGACCAGCTTGTTCTACAGAATGAGTTCCAGGACAGCCAGGGCTACACAGAGAAACCCTGTCTCAAAACAGCAAAGAGGGGAGGGGAATACCTAGTGCTTAGCTTCTCCTATGGCAGTAACTATGTCCTACTTCTCCTTACGTTGTTGTGTGCCACATTTGTTACGTTAGTGTCTTGAGAAGATCTTCCATTAGGAAAAAGCCGGCTTGCACGGAGAGTGGTGGGCTTTATTCCAGAGGAGCGGTTGCTTTGCATTGTAGCTAAATACACGAAAAATGAGACTCACACATGGGATTGTTTTTATTCTGAGAGTTAAGTGTGAAGTAGAGTGCTGAACACCAGCTAAAGGGCAAATATTCCGTTAGTTTTCCTTTTTCCTTGAGTGTAAGGAGATGAATTAGATGTATATAAGAGGAGATTGCGACCTTGTGCTGCTGAAAGATTCTGTGTGCATATATAAATACATTAAATATTTGACATATAATCGCACGTTTCTTTGCCTCAAAATTTATTACAAACTGCCCTGTATAATCTATATCTTAAATATAGATTAAAATGCTTATGCTGTAATCTCATTTTGATTCATTAGATCTCTTGCTACTGTAGTATATTATAAGCTTAGATGTTAGAAGATTGGTGTTACTTCCCCACTGATTGGTTAGTCCAGTAATAGGTATTAGCAGGGTTCTTTGTTAAGTAATTGTCATTCTCTAAAGAAGTTTTATAATAAGGAAAAGTTGGCCTGATCTAAATTACTATTGCTTGGTCTTCTGGCCAGAGAGTAGTCTTTTCAGCAGTTTAGTTGGGCTATCTCTGCAAGTAACTTGCTCTTAGATCCACTGTGTGTTTTTCTTAAAAAAAAAAAAAAAAAAGAATCTAGGTTTGTGTGTGTGTGTGCGCGCGCGCGCGGACGTACACACATGCTCGCTCAGGCCCTCATTCTTGTCTTTGCATGAACATGAATGGTACAAGAGTGTTCTGGGTATCATCTGTTGCTTTCTTGTCTATTCCTTTGAGGCAGAGTCTCTCTGAACCTGGGACTTTAGGTGTTTGCAGATTGGTTGCAAACCAGCAAATCTCAGCTAGCCCTTTTGTCTCCACCCTGTCAGAGCTTGAATCATACAGCATAAGTATGATATATGAGTATGAGTATGCCTGATTCATGAAGCTTGTTACTTGAAAGATGGGATCCAAACTGTGGTCCTGATGACCGCACAAATGCTCCCAGCCACTGAGTCATCTCCCTCTATCTCCTTGATGTTTTGAAGCATAGGAAGACTAACATGGTATTTGGAAAGCAGTCAACTGACAAAAGAAAATGGGTTGGCTTATTTTTGTTACCTTAACTAAAGCCTTATAAGACAGAATTCTGATTCCCTGAGTATATTTATTTCTTTTCTTTTTTTTCTTTCCTTTCTTTTTTTTTGTGTGTGTGTGGGGGGGCATTTTGAGACAAGGTTTCTCCGAAGTTTTGGAGCCTGCCCTGGAACTAGCTCTTATAGACCAGGCTGGCCTCGAACTCACAGAGATCCACCGGCCTCTGCCTCCTGAGTGCTGAGATTAAAGGCGTGGGCCACCACTGCCTGGCTCCTTGAGTATATTTCTACATGCAGGGTTTAATTTTAGAAGGGTGTGATTGGTCAGCCAGTTGTAAACTTAGTCTGCCATCACTTAATTCCATAGGAAAATAAATCTCATTAACTTGCATCATGGCACTAGTTAAACAGACTAATTTTTTGGTTCTAGGATAGCAATTACTTTGTAAGTTGTGTATTTTAGAACTTGCAGAATATGCTATTTAAGACACCACCTATTTTGTCTCCCCAGCCTGGAAATTAAATATATCTCCAGTAGAAACACAGTAGTGCAGTGTGTAACAGTTACCCTGCCTTGAAACATCTTTGTTTTTTGGCTGTTAAACAAATTTGTAAGGCATGGCTGTTTTTGGAGATAGAAGTCTCACTATATAACAAACCAGGCTGGCCTCAAATATTTCAATCCTCTATTTTTTTAGAAGATTAAACAAAGTGATTTTGGTTTTCTACAAAATCCATATTGAAGAACATTGAATATTTCTTTTAAAAATAATGTTGGGGGGAGGGGAAGATGAGAGGGGGAGGGGGAGAGGAGAGGGGGAGGGGGAGAAGAGTGGGGGGAGGGGGAGGGAAATGGGAGGCTGGGAGGAGGCGAAAACTTTTTTTTTCTTATTCTCAATTAAAAAAAAAATAATGTTGGGCTGAGTCTGTAGTTCAGTGGTGGTGCATAGCTTGTAAGATGTTCTAGATTTAATCCGCACTGGGAAAAATATTTAATTTCATAGTTTAACTTCAATTACCTTGAAAAACAAAAGCTGAGTAAGTAAAGGAAAGTTGACCATATTTAATCAGTCAGTCTCTTTTTCCTTGAGATAGGATCTCACTGGATAGCCTTGACTGTCCTAGAATAATTCATCATGTAGACAAGGCTAACCTGGAACTCACAGAGATTCTTCTGCCTTCTGAGTACACACTGACATTAAAGGTGTGCTGTTTAGTATTCCTAAAACTAAATACAGAAGGCTCAACAAAATAAGCCCTTCCAGTAAATCCTCTGCATTCCTATGTTGATCTTGATAGTTAGGTCTCCATAATCCTGGGCTCTTGTCTGCTTGTATTTTACCTTTATTTTAGCAAGCAAAAGGGGGAAAGTATAACTTGTGGAAATTTGGCTAAAGAATAGGAATTAGAAGTCAGTGTAGTCTAAATCCCTAAATTCTGTAGTTCAGCAGAGGGTCAGGACAGTGTGGGTATGGACCACTTCCATACTGCAGAATCAATGGCTAGTGTGAAATCTGAAGAAAAAGGTCCATTTCTCAGTGCCAGCTTTTTATTTAAAAAAAAAAAACTTTAAATATTGTCAATTAATTGTGTGTGGAGGGGAGAGATAGGGAGAGAGACATATGTGAGTGTAAGGACGCAGATGCCATTGAACTTGTGTGGTGGTCAGGAGACAGCTCCAGGAGTTTTCTTTCCGTCTGAATTCCAGGAGTCAAGCTCAGGTTACCAGGCTTGCACATCAAGCTCTTCTACCCACTAAGCCATCTCACTGGGCTCAATACAAGTATTTTTAATCAGATGCAGTGGTTCTCAACCTTCCTAATGCTGCAGCCTTTTAATACAGTTCCTCAAGTTCTGGTAATCCCCCCCACCATAAAATTATTTTTGTTACCACTTTATAACTGTAATTTTGCTACTGTTAGGAACTATAATGTAAATATTTTTGGAGACAAGTTTGCCAAAGGGGAGATAACCCATAGGTTGAAAACCACAGAGTAAAAGGAAGCTAGCTAGCAAGAGTTATTTTTTTTAAATGTCTCAATTGTGTAACAAAGAAAGTTGTTTCAGTTTTGGTTTTGTGTTTCCTGTTGTTCAAAGTTGACTGATATTTGAGCAGAATTCCTTGAGACACTGAAACTGCAGTAAGTCCTTGAGTAATGGCCACTGTTGCCTACGTTAACACTGGACAGTATTTGGGAATATTCATCGAATGTAGTTTTTTCCCTGCTCAGATTCTTTAGCTCCCCCTAGTGGTTGGTTTATTCAGAAAATATTTATTATACACCTGACTTGCTCCACACTGTGCTGATAGGCAGTGGGTAACGAGCTGTTGGAATATTCAGCAGTGGTAAAGCATAGTTAATGGGTGCTATCTAGAGTTTTAAGTGTCTATGGTAGGGACTCTGGAAAGAAATATGCATCCACTACTCTAGAAGGACACGGGAAGCTTCTTAGAGGTGGGGATCTTCATTCTGATCTGAGCAGAGAAGTTCACGTGAGGTTCAAAGATAAAGCAAGGTAGAGGCAACAGCCTGCGCAAAGTTTGCAGAGAAGACGGGTTGTGAGATGTACAGAGTGGCTCTCGGTGCCCTATGTGGAGGGATTATTGTAATTAAGTTAGGAAGATGGGGAGGTGAGATAGTTGAGGGATCACACAAATGAAAATGGACTTTACTCTGATATAAGTGCTTTTCCACCACAAGGTAATTTCACCCACAGGAGTTATTTGTGGCAATGTCATTTAAAATTTTATTTTCATGCTGGTGTGTATGGGGCTGGTGGTGATGATAAATTGCATTTCAGGCCAACAGTAGTAACAGGCAAGTTTACCTTTTAGAAGAGCCATTAGATTGATAATGGGAAGAATGAATTGAAAGGAGGCTAGAATAGAAACGACCTATGGAATACTTGGAAAGTAGTCCATGTAAGATGGAGCCCTGGAAAAGAATTAGAAAGGAAGGGGCCCACCTCCCATATAAAGGAGAGAATGGATTGAGATGAGATTATTATGAGGTAAAAACAGAATTAGGTGACAAGTGGGATAGAAGGGTATAAAGAATGGAAAAGAATCAAGGTGCATGTCCAAGGCTTGAGCCTGGGAAACCATCCATCCATATGTGTCCTGAAGTACCTAATTGTGCCCTGTATTCTTCACGTTGGTGGTTTATTATATACCATATACCATATTATACAGTTTATGTGCAAGATTATTGACCTTAACTTCTTTTTGTGTACTTCATAAAGTCTAGTCCAGTGTTGGACAAATAGCAAAAGCTTACATCTGGAGAGAATTGGATCTGTGCACATTAAAGTTCCATGTTTTCTCGGTTTGGTGGAGCTCCTTTTCCATGTAAAGGTCATATTTGTTTATGACTAATTTCTTCCCATTCTTGAGTACACACAGTTTCTGTCACTACTGTGCCTTGCCCAGAGCTTGACACAATTCTTTTTGGTAACAGGAAACCTTTCAAATCATCTTGAAATGTGCCAGCGGTCTTTGTATGAGTTGTCTGGTTTTCCCACCCAGACTTTATGTGTCACCTGTGGTGAGTGTGACATGGAGATACGGACGTCAAGGCTCAGCGGAGTTCAGTGACTGACTCAGTGTCATCCCAGGTTCTCATCCTGGCAGAACCAAGGTTTGAACTTAAGTCTCCAGCTGTCAGAGTCCATGGTCTTTGTCATTGCCTGTGTCACTTTGATAAGAAGAGCACAGCAGAAGGCACTTGCTGTTGATTGGTTGGATTGAGTAGGTTATATTGAAAACTGTCTAAACTTAAGTGGCTTGCTTTGCAGTATTAAACCTGGAACTTATGATCTTCCTGTTTCAACCTCCCAGTGCTGGAATTACAGGTGTGAACTACCACACCCAACCTACATGGTTGTAGTTATTGACTGTAAGACGGTTTTAATCCTTGAGAGAGCTGAATGTTCTTTTGGAGAAGAAATATTCTGACTATTATACAGAGTATGTAGAATTTGGCTACTCATTCATTATTTTTTTAATGTGTGTCTGTGTACACACACTCACGTGGAGCCCAATTTTCGTTCCACCCTGTGGATTTTAGGAATTGAACTCAGGTCATCAGGCTTGGCAGCAGACACCTTTACTCTCTGAGGCATTTGACTAACCTGGATTTTGAGGTAAGTCTCACGTATCCTGGCCTGGCCTTGAGTTCTTGATCTTCTTGTATCTGCCTCAAGTGCTGGGATTACAGGCATATGTGCCACCAGGCCAGGCAAGTTCACTATCTGTCTTGTAGGATTAAAATACTGGACGTTTGCCTTGGAAAAGTAGCAAGGTAAGGGGGAGAGTAGGAGTTACCTTCCTATAATTGAAGCATTGTCCTGTTGAAAGATTCATCTTGATGGGTTAAATTTATGTGTGGAACTCATAGAATAGATTTTAGAGCAAGACTGTAAGGTTGAGAGGGAGTTGGCTGCCTGGAAAGGGTGTGCAGTGGCCCACCTTGAAGATTGAAAATAGGAATGGCTGCTTCTTTCCTTGGTGTGTGTGATGGATTCTGATGCCAGGTGAAGGCTGGAAGAACCGTTTCTGTGGTGAGTTATTCCCTAGGAAACAGGAGCAAGGGGGAAAGGAGTTAGCTAATACAGGGTGGGAAGGGGAGCCACAGCAAACAGTAGAAAGGGGGAAGCAGAGAGAAGCCAGGGCCCAGCATGACTCCCATTCCACCAGTGCCTGCTGGGACAGTCTCTGCTGGGGACATTTTGTAAGCTCTTGGCTCTTGTTTCCTAAGAGATTGCTCCGAAAAGCTTGAGGAAATTTGTGACGTCACATAGACAGGGCAGTCCTGCTATTGTCCTAAGCATCTGAGTGGAGGCTTTGAGTGCTGCTGCATCAGAAAAAGCTGCATTGTGGGCCAGGTGGGGGTCAAAGTTTCCCTCAGCTGACTCAGTTTTCTTTCTAGTAATTTTTACAATTCTCATTTTTGCATCGAACTAAGCCCCAACAGTAGGATTCAAGCTGAGATGATTTCTCCTGTTTTGAATGTTTGGGTTTTATTGCGCAGATTCCAATTTTTATCTTTACTAAACAAAAACATTGCATTCTCAGCACCCAGATTTGATATAGAAAAAAATGAAATGAACATGCCCTTCTTTCTCATGTCCCCCAATGCCAATGAATGAACCCAGCGGCTAGTACACTGAGCCGCATTCCCAGCTGCGGTGGTTTGAGAATGGTTTCCACAGACTCATATATTTTAACACTTGGTCCCCAGTTGGTCACTGTTTGGGAAGGATTAGGAGGTGGGTGACCAGGATTGAGCATTGAGGTTTTAAAAGCCCCTCTCCATTCCCAGTTAGCTCTCTTTCTGTCTTGTTCTTGTGGATCAAGATGTAAGTTCTCTAGCTGCTGCCTCAGCACCTTTGCTGCCTGCCTGTTGCCATGGTCCCTGTCCTAATGGCCATGCGCTCTCACCCTCAGGAGTCCTGTGTCCCAAATGAAAACCTTTTCTATCAGTTGTTTGATCATGGTGTTTTGGTTTTTTTTGTTTGTTTCACAACAATAGAATTGTAACTAAGATACCAGCCCTTAGTTTTTTGAAACAAGGTCTCACTGTGTAATACAAATTGACCTCTAGCCCATCTTTCTGCCTTTACCTTTGAGTGTTGAGATTACAGGTATTGGTCAGCATGTCCACCATGTCTTTGTTTTAACCGAGATTATGTGGTTTCTGGGGAGGAGTATGATGAAGTAGGTAAGGATGAGAAAAAAAATTTTTTTGTGACAGGTCCTTAGATAGCTCAGGCTGGCCTTAACTTGCTGTATATTCCAGGCTCATCTTAAACTCATGATCCTCCTGCCTCAGTCTTCTTGAGTATTGGGGTTACAATCATGTGCCACCACATACGTTAGAATATAAAAAGATGTCAGGCTTGGATCTGATTCTCAGCTCTATTGCGTGCTGTGTGTATACTTTGAACAAATGACAGAACTTGGGCTTCGACTTTTATCTATAAAGAGAGTATTTCTCATAGGTTCTGTGTGCATATAAATTTGATAATGCACATCAAAAGAATATAACACGTGGTAAAAGCTGCAAAATTGTTGCTGTTTTCAGAGTGTAGATGGAAATTTTTGTCCTGCCCGGTCTTGCAGCCCAGCCACACTGTCCCAAAGAAGCACACAGAGATTTTATATTAATATGTAAACTGATTGGCCTATTAGCTCAGGCTTATTAACTAGCTCTTACAACTTAAATTAACCCATAATTCTTGTCTATGTTTAGCCATGTGGCTTGGTACCTTTTATTAGTAAGGCCTTTTCATCTTGCCTCCTCTGCAGCCCCACCTATACCTCATGCCTGGCTATTGGCCAATCAGTGTTTTATTAAATCAATACAAATACAAATGACAAATCTTTTTTTTTTTTTTTTTTTTTCCAAAACAGGGTTTCTCTGTATCTTTGAAGCCTGTCTTGGAACTAGCTCTTGTAGACCAGGCCTGCCTCTGCTTCCCAAGTGTTGGGATTAAAGACGTGCACCACCACTGCCTGGCACAAATTTTTACAGTATACAAAAGAATTATACCATAGCAGTAGACTTAGTTTCTAAGTTTTTATTTATTTTATATGTATGGGTGTTTGCCTACGTATATGTCTGTGTTCCACATGTGTACCTGATGCCCAAAGAAGCCATAAGAAAATGTCAGATCCCCTGGAACAGACAGTTGTAAGCCAAAATGTAGAGCCTGGGAATTGAACCCTGAACCTCTGGAACAGCAGTCAGTACTCTTAATTATTGCATCATCTCTTTGGGCCCAGACTTATTTTCCAGTGAACTATTACTTGGTTGTTGTCAAAGGTCATCTTGGAATAGACACTGGGTTGAGTTTGTGCATCTTTGGTAGATAGTTGTGTCGTATTAACACAAAACATGTCAGAGTAGATGGTTAATTACCATAATCCCTCAAGGAAAAGAGAAAGCCAAGGCGTGCACATGCTAGGCAAGTTCTGTACCACTGAGCTACATCCCAGTTTTAAAATGTTGACTTGGAAAAGGAATAAGACTTTGCTATCTTTATTTCCTTCTCCAGAGAGTTCAGGAAAGAGTAGAAAGGAAGTGTGATATAGTCTACACCAGCATATGCATAAAGGGCTTGGGTTGTAGGAGTCTAAAAGACCTGCTGTCGTCTGTTCAGTGGTGCACGCTTTTAGTCCCAGCACTCAGGAGGCAGAGGCTGGCAAACCTCTGAGTTTGAGGCCAGCCTGGTTTACAGAGCAAGTTCTAGGACAGCCAGGACTGCACAGAGAAACCCTGTCTCAAAAAACAAAACAAAAAAAAGAGAAACCTGAAGTCAGAGTCCTGAGTGTCACAGATGTGGCCACTAATTTACAGGGAGGAAGGGCAGGGTAGACAGCAGAGAATGTTGAGCTGAGAGTTAGGTGGTCTTCTGGTCTTACTCCTTACCCTCATGGTTTTTGTGCCTAGGTCTGTCCCCTCCCTGCTGTACAGACTGGGATTGACTAAGACTCCTTGAGGCCCTGAGATTCTCCGTTAGAATCTGTGTTGGAGGTAAGAACAGGCAGACCAAGGTAGTGTTGCGCTCTTGACGTAGCAGCTGAAAGGGCACGGTGACGAATACTACAGCTAGAAAGGAGGGTGGGTGCTGAGAACAGGCGGGTGCCCACCTTTGTCCGGAGTGGTGGCACAGAGAAACACCTTCAAAAGAGTGATTCCAGAACTGCTCACAGACTGGAAAACACAGATGTTTTCTGCCTGGTAAGCCAGGATAGCCTCTACCTAAAAAACTGCACGTCTCATGTGCAAGGAGTACAGACATGTACTACTATACCCAGTACGTGAGGAGAACAGACATGTTCCACTACACCCAGGACATGAGGAGTACAGACGTGTTCTACTACACCCAGGACATGAGGTGTTAGGATTAAGCCCAGGGCTTTATGCATAATAGGCAAGCACTCTACCAACTAAGCTACACCCCCAGCCCTTCTCTTCAGAATTTTAGTTGTAATTCTTCAAAATATTGTAGATTTTTCCCCCCGCAGACTGTTCCATTATGGATGGAGGAGATGATGGTAACCTTGTCATCAAAAAGAGGTTTGTGTCCGAGGCAGAGCTAGATGAGCGACGCAAAAGGAGGCAAGAAGAGTGGGAAAAGGTTCGAAAACCAGAAGATCCACAAGGTATATAAACCTAGAGCTGTACACTCACTTAACTTTTTTCTAACGATTTGTTTGTTTGTTTTTATGTGCATTGGTGTTTTGCCTACATATATGTCTGGATGAAGATGCTGGGTCCCCTGGAACTGGAGTTAGCAATTGTGAGCTACCATGTGGGTGCTGGGAATTGAACTGGGGTCCTCTGGAAGAGCAGCCAGTGCTCTTAACTGCTGAACCAATTCTCCAGCTCCTCATTTAATTTTTTAATCCTCATAAAACTCTACCAAGAAGGTGCTAATTGTCCTTGTTAGAGTTTAGGAACAGGGTGAAGTTACCCATGTGAAGTCTCCACAGCAGGACTAGAGTACTCCATGTTTGCCCTCTTCTCCCCTCCACAGTGCTTTCCAGGAGAGTCTGCTAGTCTCTTCCATTGTCACAGGCGGAAGAGGCACAGTTTGAACTGAGGATGCTAATAGCTTTGACCAGCTGCTCATCCAGTTAGCAGTGTGACATTAATAGCTGCCTTTGCAAACCACCTGCCGCTTTCTGAGTGAGGGGCAAAAGATGCTGTAGACTTTGCTATTTTTGATATTTTCACCTTCAGACAATATAGAGACTTAGCTATTTTTCTAGCTCCTTGTGATTCCAAAATAATATGAAACAGCCTAAATTCTGTGTCTCCTTTATGCCGTCTTCCTTTCAGAATGTCCAGAGGAGGCTTATGACCCCCGGTCTCTGTACGAACGGCTCCAGGAGCAGAAAGACAGGAAGCAGCAGGAGTATGAGGAACAGTTCAAATTCAGTAAGCTTCATATAGTTCACATTCTGAGGGATTCACTGGGCCTTCTGATGTACTTTGACCTCATGAAACTGTCTTTATTACTAGCAATAGAATTATCTTAATCATCCAGCCTTCAGAAGCTCGTCCAGTAGAAAAAAGACCATCTTCTGCCTTCTAAACCACATTGAACATTTTTACTTAGAGTTTAAGATACCATTTGAAGTCTGTGCTAATATCTAGTAAAGGGAGAAATGCTTTGACTTTATGCCATGCTATTTATAAAAAAAAGCCATGGTGTTTAACAGTTATTTCTTTTAATTGTCTGAAGAATCTGCTGCTTATTTAAAAAGGAAAAGGGGCAGTGTTGCCAGTGGTACAAGTGCTTGCTGTGCCAGTAGATCCCTGGGTCCCACAGCTGGAAGGAGAGAGTTGACTCCTGAGGGCTGTCCCCTGGCCTTCATGTGTGTACCATGGCATGCGTGTACACACACCATAATAATTTTTTTCTTTTAATGTAGGAAAGGAAAAGTCAAAGATGACCGTTTTTCTTTTAGTCTTCTCAGTATCCCTTATTCAATTGTTTCCTCAGAAAATATGGTAAGAGGTTTAGATGAAGATGAGACCAACTTCCTTGATGAGGTTTCTCGTCAGCAGGAACTGATAGAAAAGCAGCGACGAGAAGAAGAACTGGAGGAGCTGAAGGAGTACAGAATATCCTTTGTGCTTGGAGAGAGATGACTCGCTGTCCTCACAAATAGAAAGTGTCAGCACTGATGTCGTATGACTGATGGCTGACTGGCTGTGGTCAGTGGGCGTGCTGCATGTGCACGTCTGTTGTGATCAAAAGTCCACATTTTCCAGGATCAGCCAGGCATAAATTCTCATAAGTCTGTAGCAGGATATTCTTCCCTTGTAGGATTAGGCTTAGAGAGATGGACGATGTAGCCAGCCTCTCTGGGGAGAAATTGCCTCCTGAGATTTAAAAGGGCACATTTATGGCCTTTTATATGCCTGTGTGTGTACAGTACATACCTACTGAAACCAAAGACGATCACGTCCAGTGTCCTGCTCTGTTCCCTTGAGATGGGACCGCTCTCTGAACCTGAGTCCTGCTGCATTAGCTAAGCTGGCAGGCCAGTAAATACCTAGGGTCTGCTTGTCTGCACCATGCCTGGATTTTACATGAGTACTGGGGATTTGAACTTGGGTCCTCATGCTTGCCAAACAGTGCTTTTACTCTTAAGCATCTCCCCAGACCTAAAAAGGCGTGTTTAGAAAGATTCCTCTTACTCTTCTGTTTTTAGCAAAGGTAGGCAGCCCTCCCATACCCTGAGAACTATTCCTACAGTGGGTTCAGGGAACAACGAAGATCATTCTTTTTTTTTTTTTTTTTGACTTAATATTACCTTGTTGGAAGCATCTACTTATCCAACTTCTTCCCCCTTTTCCTGAGATGGCCTCAACCTTGTGTTCCTCCTGGGTCTTGAGTGCTGGGATTACGTATACCATATGCCTTTGAATGTCTTAGTGAGCACCTCCAAATCTAACTTAGCTGATGATGAACTCTCAGTTCATGCCACAGTAGAGTTGGTTTTTTTCCCCCCCTTTTTTTTTTCTTCCCGGTCTTCTCTACTCTACAATTGCCAAAACGACTTACCAAGTGTACTCAGACCTGTCTAAATCTTGCTGTCTCTCTTTCCACTCTGGACTTCCTGTATTGCTAGGGTCACTACTAATTGGTTTCCATTTTTACTCTTATCCCCAACCTTTTTTTTTTTTCTCTCTTTTGAGACAAGATCTCACTATGTAGCTGTGACTGACCTAGAACTCACTTTGTAGACCTGGCTGCAAAGAACTCAGAGAGATCTGCCTTGCCTTCTGAGTGCTAGGACTAAAGATGTGCACCGCCGTGCCTGGCTTCCTTCAGCATTCTTTAGTCAGACTCCACAAGACTCTCCATTACTTGGAGCAGATCACCTACCTCTGTGCTCCATAACTACTCTTCCTGTCCACTGTACCCTAGCCTCTGGCCCCTAGGTTTCTCTTTCATCATATGGATTCCATTTCAAGGCTTCAAATTCAAATTTCTTTAATCTGAGATGTTCTTCCTTCAGATTGCCCACAGCTAGCATTTCATGGCGGAGGTCTCAGTTCTACACTCCTCCCCCTGTGAACCTGTATAGTTGCAGCTTCTGATTGCCGTCTGTAATCCCATTTGGTGGTGCTTGGAGTGGCATCCAGGCATTTACACATTCTAAGCACATGCTCTGTCCCAAGCCCCATAATTTTGTTTTAAATAGGGGAAATTTTCATTTGTTTGCTTTGGCTCATTTTATCTTTTCACTTCTAGAATGTAAAATAAATTCTATCACAACCAGAATGACTAATTTTTCCCAGTGCCTGGACTGTAGTAAATGCGTGAATAACCTGTAGGAGCTATTGGTAGGCTGTTCTAACTTTTCCCCTCCAGTACAGAAGCTTATTTGTCTTTTTCAAGTGTGTAAGTTCAATTATCTGTGAATTGATAATTGATGGTAGGACATTGTCAGTGTGCATTCTAGCTGGCTTGGAATTCACCATGTAGACCAGACTAGCCCCTAACACACAGAAGTCTATCTGCTTCTGTCTCCCCAGTGCCTAAAGGTGTGAGCCACTATGCCCATCTTGATGATAAGATTTTATATTTATGCTAGTGTTTTCCTGCAGAGAGTGTACAGTAAGTTCATTAAAACGTTAACCTGTAGGAGGAAATGTGGGCAGATGCACTGGGCCTAATGTCAGTCAGAACTGGGAGCATAAGTACTAGCTGCCAGTCTTAGTTCTGTTAGTAGCATTTAGGTATTATCTGAGGCTGTGGGAGTTGATACAAAGTTACCCCTCAGTTTGAACTGTAAACCTAAGATTGACTCTTCTGAATCTCCACCTCTACCCTGAGGATTCTAGAATACTATTATGAGCTGACACATTTGTGAAGATGGGCAGATCTTTTTGTGTCATGTTTCAGACACCAGGCTTTTATCCTCTAAGGAAGTAGTGGTATACTTTTCACATAAATTGTTTTGTTTTCGGTTGATAGACTAACAGATAAATGTCCACCAGAGGAACATTCTAGAGAGGGTGCTAGGAATGTAAAATGCTCTTTCATTTTCAACTTAAAGGAAAGAACCAGGAACTTTCTGCGGTGACACTGGAGTAGAGAGCTGGAAAGACTTCAGGGTGTTGGCTTTAGATGGAAACTGGGCAGGTTTTGATAGATGTTTACAAAACTGAAGAAAAACAGGCCTTTTGTTGCAGATATCTGATCCCAAACACCCAAGTAAACAGATACGGGAAGACAGGATTGGAGGGATTAGATATTTATTTATAGGCACTCTATATTAGATGTTGACTCTTGGCTTTGCTCTTTAACATGGTATATTTTCTAATGCAACACTTGTGAATACAAATGAGCTATGATTTGTTTTATGTAAATAGTAGTACTCTAGTTGATCCCACTCAGATTATGCTAGTATTTAACAAATTATACATATCTAAAATTGTATAATTAAAAATCTGGAAGATGCCGGGCGATGGTGGCGCATGCCTTTAATCCCAGCACTCGGGAGGCAGAGGCAGGCGGATCTCTGTGAGTTCGAGGCCAGCCTGGCCCACAGAGCTAGTTCCAGGACAGGCTCCAAAGCCACAGAGAAACCCTGTCTCGAAAAACAAAAACCAAACAAACAAAACAAAACAAAAAAAATCTGGAAGATGGAGAGATGGTTCGGTTGTTGTCTTGCTCTTGCAGAGGCCCCAAGTTCATGTGACAGTTCACAATTATCTGTTTCTAGTTCCAGGATATCTGACGCCCTCTTCTGGTCTCCACAGATGCTGTACACATGTGGTGCACATACATATATGCAGACAAACAAACAATACACATGAAATAAAATAAACTTTTTTTTTTAAAGGCCTTATCTGGGCCTGGGGAAATGGTTCACTGGGTGGTGTACTAAGTGCTTGCTGTACAGGCACGAAGGCTTGAGTTCTACTCCCCAACACCCATGTGAAACAAAACAGGAAGAGTGAGACCAGAGAATACCTGGGCTTGCTGGCCAGCTGATCTGACTAAAGCTACCTTTGGCATGAGACGACATTCAGTGAGAGACCCTATCTCAAAGGAGCAAGGTGGAAAATGGTAGAGAAAGATAACTGGCCTGCACATATATGTGCATGCCCCCTCCCCATACACACAGAGTGTCTCATCTAATAAAGACTGAAAATTTTGAGATGTGTGTTATTGAGTAGGTTTTGTTCTTTTTCTTTTTGATCTTCTGAGCCTTAGTGACAGAGTTACAGATTAAAAACCACAATGTGCTAATGGTTTTGACATTTTAATCCTAGGAAAATTAAGGGTTTTTTTTTGTTTCTTTTATAAAAATGAAAAATTATAAAAATGAACTTTTAGGACTGACAGGATGAGCTCAGTGGTTAAAGCTTGATGGCCCAAGTTTGATTCCTGAGATCCATATGGTAGAAAGAGAGAACTGACTACTGAAAGTTCCCCTCCGACTGCTGTGCACTGCCTGGAAATGTGCAGTGTGTGTGTGTGTGTACACGTGCATGCACGTATGTGCACACATGCGCATGCACTTATAATTTTAAGAAAATAGAGATTTAGGACTGTTAAAGTAGCTCAGTCAGTAAAGACATTTGCCGCCTAGCCGGATGACCTATGTCTGATATGTAGGTCTCCATTTTTCTAAGGCTGCTTCTTAGATTTCTTGGGCACTAGATGTCACTGTTGTCCAGCAAGGCACTCCTGCATCCTAGCAACTTGCTTAGTAAGTTTGAAGAGGAGCTTAGACTGGAGGGGACTGGTGCTAGTGGGGAGAGCAGCAGGGTGGCAGACCTTGTGAGCTAGCAGTGACCTGGCCTGACGTTCTCCACGTTTGTGGTCCTGGGGGTGCAGGGTGACAGACCTTGTGAGCTAGCAGTGACCTGACGTTCTCCACGTTTGTGGTCCTGGGGGTGAGCCTAGGGCCTTGCATATGCCAGATGATCTCTACCACTAAGGGACATTCCAGCCTTTTTTTTTTTTTCTTTTTAGTCAGAGACAGGATCTTTCTAACTTTCCCAGGCTGGCTTGATTAGTCTGTAACCCAGGGTAGAGCTTAACTCTCTCAAGTAGCTGGAATAGAGTCCTGTATCATCAGTTCCAGTCTGCCTGCCTGCCTCCCCCGTGTGTGTATGTGTGTGTGCATGCACACATGCGTGTGTATACATGTGGGAAGCTAGAGGACAGCTTGTAGGAGTCTATTCTCCCTTCTGCCATGTGAGTTCTAGGGATTGTGGTGAGTGCCTTTACTCCTTAGTCATCTTGCCAGCCATAAAACAAAGATCTTTAGGAACATAAAGGAAATTGAAAAATTATGTATGACTTCCTTAGAAATAAGTCTCACCTCCCAAGAGTAAAATTGAGTTTTGCAGAATGTCTTCATGACTATCAGTGGCATTTAGTTGTCAGCCGTGAGGACCGCTTGTCCTGCTGGTGCCTTAGAGTACTTCTACTAAGAAGATTTTAAATGAGGTTTTTGCAGATGTAACACAAGAGCCCAAAAGCCTAGGCAGGACTAGCCACATTCAGGAGTATGAGGCAGGAGATTACTAAATGAAACAAGTCTCAAAACCAGATCCTGGGGTTGTCCTGTCCTCCACACATGCATGCAGTGACACAGACATGCCTGCATTCATGTACACATTTGTGCACATACACTCAGGATCTGGTGGTTGAGGCCTGTATCTAATCACTTGTCAAGGCAGGAAGGTTCTTAACTTAATGAGTTAAGTTCTGCCAAGGGGGTTGTGGGTTTATGTTTGTTCTCTAGATTTACCTTTGCTTTGTACATTTCTTCCCTTTGTTGAATCTGACCCTTAACTTGTAACTCACAGTAATCTCAACAAGGTTGGAATTTCTGCAGAAAATAAAGAAGTAGAGAAGAAGCTGGCTGTGAAACCCATAGAAACCAAGAGCAAGTTCTCCCAGGCGAAGCTGTTGGCAGGAGCTGTGAAGCATAAGAGGTCAGCCAGTGTGAACACGGTGTAAATCTCCCTCTGGCCCCATCCTCTGAAATGCCGCTGGTAATGGGAGCCAGTGCAAGTCCAGCATGTTGCTGTGGCAAAGCTGTCAGTGTGCTTGCATTTTGCCCCCCTTCCAGATTTAGAGCCCCTGTAGCCTTTGACCCTAGACTGACTGGATCACTCATTCACTGCCATGTAGTGCTTCTTCTTTGAGCATCTGCTGCGTGTCACGTTTCCTCTAGTGATCTCACAGATTCCTCTCGCCATTTCCATGGAATATCATTTCTTATGACTCGGTTTACAGATGGAAAGACTACTTGGTAGTTGAAGAACTTTTGTCCACGGTCATACAGTAATAAAGCAAGAGTGCGGTGTTTGAGCTTTTGTATTTCTAGGCAGATGAGGCAGCAAGTGCTTCAGGAGTGCTGCTGGTGAGCTGTGACAGCATGGAGGAGGAGTTAGAGAAGGGCTTAGAAAGATGCTGACGGCTAGGGCACCGGGGCTCTGACAGGCAGGCAGGCAGGCAGGCGAGGGAGAAAGCAGCCAGAGAACAGCTGCTGCGAAAGCATTGAGAGAATGCAGCAGCTGTGACAGGGTTATAGACCTGGCTACAGCTCATTTTGACTGATGCGGGGGTACAAGCACTACCACAGATTCTGATGAGTTCTTTGTCATCTTGGCTCTTCCCTTTTCAAATTCAGAAATGGCACCAGAATGATTGAATCAGCTTGACCAACCAGACTGTGGGTGAAATGATGTTAAGTGCAGTCTATTAGGAAAATCAATATGGTGTATTGGCAACCAGCCACATGTTTTGAATGGAGTGTATTGATGCAGTCTTGCGGTTTGGCACAACGTCTATCTGCTGCAGATGTTCCTAGGAACACTGAGCACATGTAAAAATGTCATCATGGTACAGCAGCACAGGGGGAGGATCAGTGGTCTAAGAAGGAACCTTAAAAAGCCATGAATCTTTTAACATCCTATATAAGCTTTTCAAAGTTCATTGGCTCTTAGGAATCAGACCTGGACCGGTTTGATGAGCTCTCCAGGTGGGCAATTACCTCCTGGGTACTCTCGCTGTTGCCAAGTGGGTATTTCAACTGTCTTCCTTGATTAGTCTTTATATCATATTTAGGAAGGGCTCTGTTAGCTTATCTGTTAATCTGTATAGAGACTCTCTTGGGTTTTCAAAAGTATATCATTTAATGTTGCTTTTGTAGCAAGGTGACACATTAGCCTCTTGGGGCAGGAGTTTCTGATCTCCCCTGCCCTATCTCAAAATAACCTGAGAGTTTGTCCTGGGCTTCATGCTAATTCTGGTTTAATAAATTTAAAGCGTGAGAGTCATCGTTGTTAGAAGGTGCATGTACAATTCAGATCCCTGGTGAAAATCTGGAAGCCTCCAGATGTGTGAAGTATCACAAAACAAAACAAAAACAAACCTGTTTCTTATCTTTAAAGAGATCATCTTTGCTGTTTTTCAGTTTTTTCTTGTACTTATTGTTATAAAGTCCTGTGGGATACCCACACTCATTTATTTTCAGTCTTTTCAATTGGAGGCACTCAATTCTGTTTACTTCCTTCAGCTCTCATCAAGTAGTTTTATAATTCCTACTGTGTATTTAAAATTGCCACTGCGATTTCTTCTTTGTCTCAGAAATAATATTGAAACATATTTAAAATTTTCAATATTGAGGTAACTTTTCCATACTTGGTTCCCCATACATACACTACTAACCCTTATAATTCTAGTATCTTAGAGGCTATGAAATTCTGTCTTTATTTTTTTCTTACTAATTTCTAACTTAATTATATTGTAGTATTGTGGTTTATATATCATAGTTTGGGGGGGTTGTTTGTTTGTTTTTGGTTTTGTTTGTGTAGCCCTGGGTGGCCTGGAATCTATTGTGTAGACCAGGCTACTCTCTATACCTCCCTCATCTCCTAAGTGCTAGTATTACAGGTGTGCTCTACTGTGCCTGGAAATCCTAATGCTTTTGGTAGGACTTTAGACTGTCACCTGTTCCTGGGATTAATGTTCTAAGTGATTTTAAAGAAAATTGTTTTTCTATCTTTGTCTGTCTTTCTCTTACACATCCGAAACCTCTGAAACTGCGAGCAAGGCCCGAGTTAATGCTTTAGTCATGGTGTCTCTTCACAGCAGTAGAACAGTGATAAAACCCCAGGGTTTTAGTTAGTCCCAGATGTAGTCAAGTTGACAGTGAGGAATAGCCACCACCCAGCCTTTTTCATGCTAGTGTTTGCCTTGATTCTCTGTTGATCCATGCTTCCACTTTTAATCTTTTTGGGTATTAAGTTTTAAGTTTTTTTAGATAAGCACCTTTAAATGATTGTTTTAAAATGTATTCACTTAATCTGTTTTTTACTAATTTGTGTACTCTATATTCAGATCTTAAAATATAATTTCTAACATCTTAGTGCTGTCTTTTGTACTTTTTAAATTTCATTTATATTTACTTATTTATCTGTATTCATTTGTTTATTACTTATAGAGCAAGGTGTATATATTCCAATCTGATTTCAAACTCAGTGTATAGCCAAAGATGGTCTTGGACTTCTGACCCTCCTGTTCCACCTAAGAACTGGGATTACAGATGTGCCAGCATGCCCGGTTTATGCTGTTTGGGGATTGAACCCATAGCTTTCCTGGGGCATTGATTACAGTCTACCTAACTGAGCTACATCCCCATCCTCCCTTTTACTTTTTAAAATATTTTTCCTTATAGTCTTGCTTTTAGGAGGAGAAATGAATAAGGCCTTAAAATATTTTTTCTTTCTATTATATATACTTATTTGTACCCTTTTAGTGATAGGGCCTTGAAATTTACCAGGCAAGCATATGAATAGCTATCTTACCTTCTTAAAAATGATGCAAACAGAAGCCCCTTGGGCTGGGACTGCAGTTCTGTGCTAAGTACTTGCCTACTATTGAGAGGCCATGGGTACAGTCATCTCCCCAGCATAACCCTCCTCCCACAAGAGGGACCATCAGATTTTATGCTACATTTGCTCTCTTCTGTGTTCTACTATTGCCCAGGACTTTGTTGTGTTTCATGCCACAAATTAGACTATGGTCCATATATATGAGATACCCGTTTAGACTTACGTCACCATCTCTTTTTCTAGTATAATGTCTTTCTCCGCTGAAACGTATTCTTTAGCTACTCTTTTAGTGAAAATCTTTTGGGTGACTCTACATATCATCAGAAATGTTTCCTTTAATAATTTAAGTTTTGTCATTGTGAAAATGTGTAAATGCTCTTGAACTCCATCCGTGGTTCTACCCAAGTTGAATGGTAAAGATAACAGAAAGCCAAAATTGGCATGCTGTGTCATTGGATTTTTCAGAAGGTAGATTTTATGTTTGGGCAGAGGCTTGGAAGTGAAATGTTATCTTTTCATTTCAGTCATCACAGCCTTGAGACGGCCCAGACTCTCATAAGTATCTCTGCTGCTCCCATTCCCTCGGTGTTGATCCCTGAGAGTCAACATAGCTCAAATCACCATGTGTTTTCTGTTACAGCTCAGAGAGTGGCAATAGTGTGAAAAGACTGAAACCAGACCCCAACCCAGATGACAAGGCTCAAGGTGGGTGTGGTCCCTTACTTTCTTCCCTTCCCTCATTGTAAACAAGAACTGTAGGAAGGACAGGACTCACTGCATCTTTTGTGAAGGGTGTATTATGTCTCTTTAAATAAGCCAGCCTTAAATTAATCTAATTTGCCAAACCGTTTTATATTAAGCAGGAATTCCTACCACGAATGTGTCAGCTGCCCTACAAAAGTAGTGTGTAGTGAACCAGTGGAGCTGATAAGTAACAGTCGTGTTCTCCGGGGAGTGCTTATAAACCCTGGTCAGGTGACCTCTGCTCACAACAGGTTTTTCTCTCTCTTGCCAAATGTCAGGTTTCTTATTTCACCTGTGGGAGACAGAATACCAAGTTTCTGCTAGTGGTTGGATTGGATTGAGCCTAGAATGGTATTCAGGACTCTATTTTCCTTGAAGACAGTGACTTTTTATGTGATGAAATCTGCCTCTGTATTAGGTAGCAAGAAATTATAAGTAAAGGGAGTGTTCTTGGGCCTGGATGAGGAATTCAAGAGTTTGTTTTTAGTTCCACCTGTGGGATTGAGGGTTCTAAATCCAATTCAGTTGGCCATCTATAAAACAGGGCTTACGTTTATTTCTTTCTCAGATAGTGGATGCTTATTCAGTTGTTTCTCCACAGTACCGGGGACGGTACCTGTACTTTTAAAAATATCAGTCTGTCTCTTTCTCCCACACCCTCTTCCATCCCTTTGATTTCCACGGGAAACACCAGTGTACATTTCTGTGTCTCCATCCAGGCCTGTTCTCTGTATGTATACACAGTTATATTTGTCATTCTAAGTGCCTTCTTCCTATTCCTGATTCTTGTACAAGCTAGACGAGAAATAACCTTCCTTTGCTAGGAGAAAGGACCCCAGAAGCAACCTGCTGTCCTTGAAGCTTGCTTCAATCTTGTCCTCTGCTGGGGCAGGCTTTGCCTTGGTCCTACAGAAGGTGACTCCGACCCTGACAGAAACGGAGCTCTCCCACTGAAAATTATCTCATGCAGAGCCAACAAACATGCAAGGTGGCCTCTGTACTCTCTCCATCTGCCTGCATTCCAAGAACATTCTCTATTCATCATTTTCTCTGCTAACTCGATATGACAATGTGGTCCGGCAGAGGCAGGCGTTGGCAGGAAACGTCCCCAAATGGTGAGATCAGAGGGCACCATTTTGTTCTCTCTGGGCATTTAACTGCTTTTGGAATGAAATTTGTCAGAGTTGCAGTCTCTTTTCTCTCTTGATACTTCCTAGATAATTGGAGGGTCTGTCCTTTCACTTAAGCGACTCCAGTGTCACAACAGTCCAGATTCCTGTTGCAGCTCTGTGCTCGGCTCCATCCTTCCATGGCAGCTCCAGCCCTCCTAGGCACTCTGAACTGGATTCTTTTATTCTCAGCTTTGAAAGCGTTCTGTGTGGCGCATAATAATACAACAAACGCTCAAGGAATGAATTATACAATTTATTGTCATGTCTCAAATATTAAAACGATCAGATTTTTACCATTACTCCACCCTCCCCCAAATTAGCCATCTGCAAGGGAACTTCTGGCCTACTTCGTGCCATACCAGGGTGTGTGTCAGGGTAGTGATGGGGCGGGCACCCCTTTCAAGGGTCCTCTATTCAGTGGGAGTATAGACAAACGTCCTGCCCCTTCAGCAGGCATTGAGGCTTCTGCATTTCCCCTCCTTTATTGGAAGGATATCCTGGGGGGTTATAGCATTGATGGGATATTCTGCTTTGATTGAAATGCTCTTTGGATTTTTTATTTGCCTTTTAAAAACAATGTCTAAATGAGGTAATAATTTAGAAAGGGGGTAAGAAGAGTACAGTAGGAAAAGTAAGTCTCCACTGCTCAGTAGACGCCGGTTTCTTCCTAAGCCACACACTGCCACCAGTTGTTTGTGGTTTTGGTTTTTTGGCTTTGTTGTATTTGTGCATGGGCATGTTTCTGATTCTCCCTTTAATTACTTTGTGTTCTGCTTCTCTCCTTTTCCATTGAGTCCATCTTGGAGACCATTCATTTCCAGTGAGGACAGACTTGTTTCCTTCCCTCTTTCCCCACAGTCCTGTTAATGGAACCCAGAACCTTGTGCATACTTGGGTAGCAGTCTCCATGAGTATGCTGAGCTGCAGCCCCAGCCCCAGGGCCTTTATTCTCAGCCACTTACCTGCTGGCCTCCTTTGCTTCTCTGTTGCTGTGATAAACCCCCAAGCAAAACAACCTGGGGGTAGGAGAAGGTTTATTGTATACTTCTAGTTCACAGTCCATCACTATAGGAAGTCAGGGCAGGAACTGAGCAGGAGCCATGGAGGAATACTACTTACTGGCTCGATGGCCATGGCCTGCTCTGCCTGTTTTCTTATACAACCTAGGGCCACTTGCCCAGGGATGGTGCTGCCTAAACTGGACTTGGCCCTCCTGCATCTATCATTAATTAAGAAAATGCCCACAGTGCCTCAGGTGAGGTTCCCTCTCAGGTGATTCAGCTTGTCCCAGGTTGGCAGACACTGACAGCACAGCCTCTGTAAACACCTCCTTTTGCTGCTGTGGACAGTTTTCGGAAACATCATCGATGTTGTGAGAAGTCCTTCCCTGTAGAGATATAAACATCTGCCCCTTTCTTAAAAGTAAGATTCCACCAGAATTCACCCTGGAGAATCCATGTTATTGGGCTTACAGAGCACGGGTGAGAGGTTACTGCAGGAGCCTGGGAGATCCCCAGAGCAGCAGCCATTCTGAGGAGTCTTCACTTAGCATGGATGGTGGTTTGCTTTCCTTAGCTGCATGGAGGGGGCTCTCCTCAGCTACCCTCCCCAGCCTGTGTGCTCTGTCTCCTTACACGATACCCCTGTACTCTACCCCAGGTGTGACTAGGGCAGAGTTATAGATGGCTGAGAGGGGGGCTGGGATCTCCTTTTGTAACACAAGGATGACCACAGTTGTCCTCTGGTTATCTGGGTTGTTTTGTTTTGTTGGGGCTTCTTCAGGGAAAGCCTTGGCACTGTGCCCAGGTCCAATGATCCTCCCTATCCTCTCCTCCTCTGAGGGAATGTCAACAGTCAGCTGGCCTGATTGGAATCGTCTCTTGCAAGATGATCTGAGGAAGATAGTGGTTATTTTGTTCTGAGGACCATGATCCACAACAGTTGGTTAAGTTTGGAGGTCATTGCCAAATTGTCTTGAGCTGTTACTCACACATTCCTTCCTAATAATTGTTTCTTTTCCTGTGTTTAAAACTCACGTTTTATTGTTCTATGAACTACTTGTATTATCTGTGTCCTTTTTTTTTTTTTTAATTTTTTATTTTAAGGCAAGGTCTCATGTAGACCAAGCTGGCGTCAGACTTACTATGTAGCTAAGGATAATCTTTAGCCTCTAATATTCCTGCCACTACTTCCCAACTACTGGGATAATAGGTATGCATTACTATCTTTTAGGGTTTCTATTGCTGTGATGAAACACCATGACCAAAAGCAACTTGGGGAGGAAAGGGTTTATTTGATTTATACTTCCACATATCAGTTCATCATCAAAAGCAGTGAGGGCAGGAACTCAGAGGCAGGAGCTGATTCGGAGGCCATGGAGGGTGCTGCTTACTGGCCTGCTCCTTATAGCTTGGTCAGCCTGCTTTCTAATAGAACCCAGGACCACCAACCCAGGGATTGCACCACCCACAATGGGCTGAACCCTCCCCCATCAATAACGAGTTAAGAAACTGCCCTATAGTGGGATCATATGGAGGCATTTTCTCGATTGAGGTTCCCTCCTTTCAGATAACTCTGGCTGTGTCAAGATGACATAAAACTGTCCAGCACAATTGCCATGCCAAGTTTTTTCCACTGCTAGGGACCAAAGCCAGAACTTCATACCATGCTAGACAACTGGGTTGTATCCCAGGGTATCCATTTATTTAACCATCATCACCATTATTTATAGCCCTGACTGGTGCTGACCTTGCAGCAGCCTTTCTGTCTCAGCCTCCCAAGTGTTGGGATTATAGGTTTGCACCGCCATACCCTGCTCTTTGTGCTTTTTGGTTGTCCACTGATTTTTTTTTTCTTTTTTCATGCATTGCTGGAGATCAAACTGAGAGCCCTAATACATGCTAGGCAGGTGCAAGCACCTACCACTGAATCATTTCCTCAGCCCCACAGCTTGTTTTTTTGTTTTGTTTTGTTGTTGTTTTTTAAAACAGACTAGAAAGACTTTATGTCTTTAAAGTTGTTAGCCTTTGTGGTATTTGCCACTGCCTTCATGTCAGCATTATTGCTGTCTCGCAGTCACTGCTCTCGTGCTCTTTGAGATGTTTGAGCATTGCTTACCTGCAGCAGCTTCTCCGTAGCCTACTGGAGAAGAACCAGATCCCTGAGATGAATTCTGTGTCCGACAGCTGATAACTTTTCTCAATATAGCCATGGAGTCAATGTCCCTTTTTCATTCTCTTGACTTATCAGCACAAGTAAGATGTAAATTAATGGAAGGCAAACCCCAAAAGGGATGTCCTTGTCAGCCCCAGCCGTGACTTAGGAACTGAGCCTTCCACTCCAGTGAGCTTTGGCTTCACTTGAGTCCAGAATCTTCTGGTGCAGGTCTAGTGTTTTATACTCTAGTCTGTGTACTTACCAGCTTACTTGACTTCCCTCATCAGTCAGCAGGGAGAAGCCCTACATACAGTTGTTACAGTGACTGCATGAGGCTGGAAACAGGGAAGAAAGAATGGAGTGCCATTCTCAATGTAGGATTGTTTTGTTTTGTTTTGTTTTTGAGTGCTGGGAACTGAACTCAGGTCCTCTTCGAGAATACAGTATGTGCTTTTTAATCTTAGCCGTCTCTCCAGACCCCTAACTTTCTCTGTAATTGTCAAGTTCTGCATGTTGTAGATCGAGGCCTTTGTCATTAGAAATAGCAGAATCACTATGCATATTCCGGAAAGAAGAGCCCAGATACATGGCGATATTGTACCTGGCTTTAAAATGTTTCTGGGCTGAAGAGGTGGCTCAGTGGTTAAGAATCCTGGCTGCTCTTCTAAAGAACCCAGGTTCAGTTCCCTGCACCCATATGATAGCTTACAGCTGTCTGTTACTTCAGTTCTAAGGGATCTGATACCTTCACACCAATGCACATAAAATAATGTTAAATAAATAAGTAAAGAAAATAAATTTTTTCTTCAGTGATTCTCAGTACAAAAGTGATAAATCAGTTTTTGAGGTACCCATCTCCCCATCCTGGGAAAATGCTCCATAAAGAGCAAAACTGTATGGCTGATCCCTGCTAGTCAGTATACTGCTCTCTACGTATGGCGGTGTTGTTTGTACCGCCCACAGCTGGTCTCTTAATCTACCTTCCAGTGGAGGGCCACAGCATCGCTGAAGACATCAGACCCAGTCCCACTTGCTGTATGTAACTTGTGAAGACAGGGAATCAGACTAAGATAGGTGACTCTATGTAGTCTGTTCCTCAGCCTCAGAACTGGTGGGTGGCAAGAGAGTGTGGGCAGACTCTGAGTCCCAACTCTGTTTTCTCTTCTCTGTCAGCTTCCTCACCTGTAGCCCAAAGATGTCCAGAGTTGTTCTGCAGCTTCGGGGCTCTTTGTAGAAAACCCTGGCACGGTGTCCAGGACCTGGGGATGACCCTTCACCATTAGGGAGCGCTATGACTGACTTCCTGTCCTCCCTTTTACAGAGGCTCCATCCTGCGTGTCTCTTGGAAGCTCTTCTCTGAGTGGCCCCTCCATCCACTGCCCATCTGCTGCTGTCTGCATCGGCATCCTCCCGGGCCTGGGTGCCTACTCCGGGAGCAGTGACTCCGAGTCCAGTTCAGACAGTGAAGGCACCATCAATGCTACAGGGAAGATCGTCTCCTCCATCTTCCGAACCAACACCTTCCTCGAAGCACCCTAGCTCCTGACATTACCATAGGAAGCGTCTCCCCAGAGGGTTAAATGCCTGTTCTGACTCAGCATCACCTCCCTCAGAAAACTTCTTCACCTGCTTCCTGTGCACATGTGACATTCTAACCTAACCTAGAATTGTGCCAGAGTCTGCTTGTGGCTCAGACTCTGCTTGGTTTCTCTTTGTGTTCCAGTGCAGATGACCAAACCTGTCCCAGCGATAGGAGTTGGGGTTCAGGCAAGTCTCAGAAATGCCACTGGTGGTGCAAGGGTTCACCGTACCTTGTTTTCCTGTTTTTCTCCTTTCCTAGTAGCACAGGAAGCATTGTCTTGATACACTATTGTAGGTGAATGGGCTGCTTGGTTCTGCCATGTTGTGTGTGGCATAGAGAAGGGCAGACTAGCTGCTGACCTGAGTTATGCCCTAGGTCTGACCCTTCCTGGATGTTATGTGACTAAAGATTGCAAACCACACCCACAAGGCTATGAGCCAACCACAGCCCTTGAGGTGATGTTCTTCCATGTTGTTATTCCCCCCTCTCCAGCCTGCGGAGGTAGGAAGGAGCTGGAAAGGATGACATGTCCATCTTCTGCCCACCTTCTCTCCCTGGAAAACTGTTTTGATTTTGTTTTTGAAATAAAGAATTTAGTTTAAGATTCTAAACATTAGAGAAGCAAATTTACTGAATCATAGCCAGAAACTATAACTGCTGATAGCTGTGTTAAAGAGATGACTAATGCCTCGCTGTTTCTGGAATCCTGCTGCAAACTAGTGGGACATGCCTGTTACGGCTGTCCTCTACTCCACCAAGGCCCTGCTGTTTGCACATACAGCGCTGCAGCTTTTGACGGTGAAGGTATTTCCAGCCTGAGATGCTGCCTCAGTGCTTTTCCTTTATCCGCGCCGTCCCCCCCCCTCCCCCCGCCTCTGCTCCACACTGTCCCCGGGCTTCCCCAACAACAGCTCCTGGACCATGAGCTGCAGGTCTTGTCTGATTCTGTCTTGTGGAGGAGGGAGAGGTGTGCAGGACTCAGGTTGGAAGACATACATCTGACGGTCTGTGCGCCTGCTCCAGAATGAGCCCGAGTTCTCAGTCCCTGGTTCCAGTATCCATTGTTTCTTCCTTCCTATGGGTGTGAGACGAGTGAGACACACCGAATGTGTTGGCACTGACATACTGGCAGGCAGAGGAAGCTCCTCAGTTTTAACGTGGGCAGAGAGGGCCCTGGATCTTATCCAGCCCTTCCTTTCCCCTTTCAGTGTATTGACACTGGTGCCCACCAGCAGATGGTGGTTTTCCTTCACCCATTGTGGATGCCTGTGATTGCTGCCATCCTTTGCAGAGCCTCCCAGTGCTAATCTTTTCTGTCAGTGCGGGAGCGTCAACTCCATCCTGAGAAGACGTTTAGGTAAAACTGCAAGCACCTTCTGCCTCTTTGTCATTGTTCCTGTGGCTGCGCTGTCACTCCTGCAGCGTGTTCTTGCACCCACAGAACCCTGAACCATTTCAGGATGCAGACCAAGACATCAAAGTCATCAGTTCCGTGTGGCTTGATTTCTCAGAGGCCACCGGAGCGTCTCATGGTCGCTGTTGATGTTGAGAAAAGGTGACAGGGCTGTGAGGTTTAAAACTGTCCCCTAACTTCAATTTTCAAACCTGTCGGAGCAAGCTGTCGCTCCATACCACATCTCATGCATCCAGCTCCCCCATTGTTTGCTGCTGGCTGCGCCGCACGGGCTACAGACCCAGGTTTCTTTTCCCAGTCTGCCGTGTAGCCCTAGCTGGCTTCCTGAATGCCGGGGTTACTGATGAGTGCCACGGTGCCCAACTGTAGACTGGCCTCTGCTTTTGGTGTCTCAGGCAAGCCTGAGTCACACCGGTGGCTTTTTTTTTTTTTTTTTTTTTTTTTTTTACAGTAGTTCATTGTGCCTAATGGTGTAGAAGCTATAATTGAAACACCAGTTCTGTGGCAAAGCAGGCCAACCAACAGGGGAAGCAGCCAGGGCAGACCAACAGTGGGCTCCACAGAAGAACAGAATGAGAAGTGGAAGAAAACCTCACTTTAGCTTTCAGGACAGTCAGCCTTGTGCCCTGGCAGGCCTCACACGGGGACACACCGAACATGTGCATCCTTTCCTCATTCCCTAAACGAGAGAGTGTAACAACGTCTAGAATATTATATTGTGGTAGGCGTCCCGAGTTGATGTAAGTAAGCTAGGAATGACTGAAAGTGTACGTGAGGGCGTGAGTAGCTTCTGTGCAAACAGGCCATTTTACAGTCAGGACTTGAGCTTCTGCAGGTGTGGGCCTCTGAGGAAAGGTCTAGAGACCAGGCCCACCAGATGTACTGCACCTGAATAGGGATTTTACAGTTAGGTAAGAAAGTATGAAACATGGTTTGTTTCTCTAAGCCTTGTACATTCTATCAGGGGGCACAGTTCTTAGTTCTGAGACCACTTGGAGAGCCTGCAGTGCTCGGTTGCCGGCTCTAACCGGGAGGCACGGAACTGTCCGGCTTGTAGTGGTACTGCAGTCACTTCCTGTCGTTTGTCCGCCTGAGGCCTGCTGCCCACTTGGAATGGGGGAAAGAGACTTGAAATCTGAGTCAACTGATGTGACTGGACCTCAGCAGGTAGCTGACTCCCTGCCTGAACAGCTCCCAAAGGTCCCAGGACCGGGTAGAAAGCTCGTTCCTCAGGCTGAGGTATCCCCAGGAACACCCTCTCCTCAGTCAGGAGCCTTATCAGAGTTTGACTTCAGTCCTTATTACTTCCCAGCTCCTGAATTCTCCCCCTGTTGGCCTCCTGATCACCTAAGAGAAAAGCTTGGTTTGCCAAGAAGTTCCAGCTTCTTGAGAGCAGCCTCTTTCCACCCTCCACAGATCAGCCACAGTGAACAGCATAGAGGCGGACAAGGCCCTTCACCTGCCCCGTCCCCTAGAAAAGAAGAGTGACAACCAGCTTCCTCTGGGATAGCTGATTCTCTAGATTAGATGCCTCTCGTGCCTGGGTAGGGGGTCCAGAGGGTATTAGTGTGCAGCACACAGTTTCGTATGACGCTGGCAGTCCCCAGTTGTAGCTAGAACAATAACATGTTGGAAGGGTCAGATCTGGTTGCCAGCTCCACCAGCTTCTGCGTTCGTTACTCCAGTTAGCTAAATGTTAATTGCTTAGGCACACCGGGTTCCCTGGCTCTAATGTCCTTGCTGTGGGTTTGTGACTAAGCTGTCATCTTAGGCCCCTTTAGGAAAACAAGTCGCTCAGTAGCAGTGCAGTCATCTGGTTGGACTTGGGTGGTTTCCTGGCATCCTGGCATGCCCAGCCTACTTAGACACGCTAGAAGAGAATGCAGGTACTTTTGGTGCTCAGCTGGAGTCTTGTCAACACCTCTGAAGTCACACCTTAAGGACTCTGCTGTGGGCTGGCATTGTTCCCTCACCTGCTAGAGGAATGGTTTCAGAGGGAATTGGAACAGCTTTAACAGGCAGCCCTGGCCCCAGCTGTGGCGGAGACACAGAAAGGCCCCATGGGAGACTGCAGTCTGCTTCTGCGACCCCACTGAAGCTGCTACACCTACGGTTTTCATTCTGGAAAAGCACTCTGAAGCCAGCCCTTCTCTACACTCTATAGAGGAACCCCAACCTCCCAGAGGCCCAGTGACTGCCTGCTGCGTGACAGAACCAGAATTTTTATGTATGCCTGAAGTCTGGCTTTCTATGTTCTTGTGAGAATTTAGCTTCTTCAGTACACAGCCCTGGGAGCTAGAACCACTAGACTCCCTAGTTGGCCAAGCCAGAGGTAAATGAGCAGTTAGTAGCTGGGTGTGGTGGCACACATCTTTAGTCCTAGCTTCCAGGAGACAGAAGCAGAATGATCTTTGTGAGTTCAAGGCCAGCCTGGTTTACACAGTGAGTTCCGGGACAGCCTGAGCTACATAGTGAGACCCTGTCTCAAAACAAACGAGCATCTGGTGGCCACAGAAGTTTGCTCCTCCCTCCCACCAAGTACACCATGGCTTCCGAGATTGGGACCTGCCTAGTGCTGCCCAGTTCCAGTAGCTAGGAAGGCCTGGCCTGGGGGAGAAGGCAGAGACACCTGCTTTTCCTGTCAGGGTAAGGTCATTAGCAGCTTGAGTGGGAAAGCCCCTTGCAGAGAGCTAAGGGAGATGCTGGGTGTAGTAGAACACGCATGCCCAGGTCAGCCACACTTCCATCCACATTCTGCCTGTCTAGTAGGTACGATGTGTTTCTGTTTCTGCAGGGTCATGGTTGGGCTGTAAAAGGTCCGTGAACAGTGCTGGTACAGGCAGCTAGAAACATGGTGCTCGGTAGAGACATCCTCTACTGCAATCCCATCAGCCTGTCAAAAGGCTAGAACTTCTCAAGAGGACAGGTGCTGTGTGGTGTCTCTCCATGTCTGTACCGTGTGTGCAGTGCCATGTCCTGTGCCGGTCTCACCGGATTGCTGCTGCTGACAGGGAATGCATGTCCCCATGTAGCAGTATGACACTGACTCTTGAAGAGGGAGGGCTTCCTTTTCTAGATGGGTGCATGCTCACCGACCCTCACTATGGAAGAGGCTGAAGGCGACATCTGATACTCCTCTAGTACCCTGAGTGTAACAAGTGGAACACAGTCACAGTGTAGAACCAGAGGAGGCGGCCATACAAGGTGTGCTAGGGACAAGTTCTTCATCGCAGCTGGTGACTTAGGAAAAGCCAGTTATGATTGTAAAAATTTTATTCTCTTTAATAACAATAATCCCACTAAAATTATACAAAGTACATTCAAATACTTGGAGTGGCAGGAGGGTGGGGAGAGGAAGCCGGTTTGTCCTGGAAGCATCATCAGTTGACTCTGACAAAGGAAGCCCAGCTGGGCTGGGGGAAGTTGGGGGTGGAGGTCCGGTTGTAAAAAATAAAAACGTGGACTGGTAGAAAAGGCCACCCACGAGGAAGCAGGGTGAACGTGCATGTTCCTGGGGGAGGCGGGGGGGCTCAGCTGGCATGCTGCTGCTGGGCATGGGCTCAGGCAGGCTCCGAGTTGGTGGGGGGTAGGTTTTTATGCTTGAAATACTGCACTACTTGCTGAGGCAGCTCCGCCAACACCGCTTTGGCCAGAGTTTCTTTTGCTGCCTGTGGAGTCCAGGTGGGGAGAAAAAAGAAAAGAGGAGGAGGAGGATTAAGGAGCGGAAGTTGGGAGATGAGCTAGAGCTGTGTCCTAGAGCTGTGATGGCAGGGGGTCGAAGAGAACCTTAGGGCTAAGGGTCAGGGCCATCTGAAATGAGTGGCCCAGCCTAACCCCACCACTAGCAGTGACTTCCTCACTGAGGAAGTGCCCTTCCTTCACAGGCTGGAGGTGTTTGGGGAAAGACCTCAGAGGATGAGTTTAGGAGAAAGAAATGGTTCTCCCCAGTCTCGCTTCTACTCAGCTGGCAGCATTTCAGCCCTGGGAAGCAGCACTGAATGGCCACTACTGAGCAGCCAGGCACAGCCAATGTCCAGTCACTGCCCCATACAGCAACGGATGACCGATGCCCCACATTTGTCCTAGGAAGCCAGAGAAAGGCACACAGTCATTCTAGGCAGATGTATGATGACCACTGGGCCACCACTTGCCGAGCCTGCTTCTCAGGCTTTAGCTGAGGGGAATGAGGCTCAGTAA